CTAAATATTGGTAACTCCCCTTCTTAAGGCTACATCCTCCACTCCTAACTTCTCTTCAAATGACTACTAAGTTTTAAAGATAATTTGAGATAAGAACAGCAGGATTGGGCCCCTTCTCCCCAAATCATACTGGTCTAAATGAGAGTATGCAAGGATGGAGATCCATAGCTCCTGTCATCCTATAGATGCTGTGAAGATGCCAGGGGCTTCCCATTGATTTCCTTGGGAACAGGGTTGAAACCAAAAGCTTGGAAACCTTCAAATGTTTCTCACATGTTTAAGAATTAAAATCAGTGCTTCCAGTTGAGCCCGTGCATGTTAACAGGGTCAGGGCATAGGTGAGGCCCGATCTGTTCCCATTCATCTCAAGAGGACATCAGCTCTGAGGCCTAGTGATGAAGTTGAAAATAGTGTCAGTGTAACGTGTGGCTGCTGTTCCAGACTCACTGATGGGCTGGCGATTGAGCGCCCGTGTGGAAGAAAGCGCCAAAGTGATCCACTCTCGCGTGTCAGAAGCCCTTGAGAAAGTGTTTCTCAGGCCGGGATTCTCCATCCTCTCACCTGTGTACCACTGCCATGCTCATCCCTACGTCCGAATGGGTTTGTGTCACTTGACACGTCCCGTGGTGTTTTACCTTTGAGATGACTTTCACCCCACAGCCAAAATAGTATTTTACACTAAGGGTCTGCGTACGCTCAGGTCGATTGAACTGAGTTAGCCAAGTGTGAAGACAAGGTAACTTTGGTTTTACTTCAGGTTAGCAGCCTGGTATTGAATTCAAGGTCTTAACCCAGGTAAAACCCCAGTTAATGTGTCTTTATGGCTCTTTTAAGTTGCATTAGCTAACTCAGTTTAGCCAACATGAGTTAAGAGCACAGTGCAGATGAACAGCGATGCCAAAGAGTTAAATTCCACATAATATAAATTGAGGAACAAGACCGTGGAATAAATGATCCTGTTAAATTCCCCATGAACACAGACCATGGAAAGACAATACAACCTACCGTGAATCACTCGCAGAGATGCTCATTGTCTCGAACGCTTCCAGACAATAAGAGAGGAGGTTCCACCACTTCCAGTGCCCAGAAGCACAGAAACAAGAAATACAAAGCAGGGGTGAGTACCTCTCATTTGATCTCAGTGTTAGAAATCCAGGCTAGGAGGTGGTGAGAAAAGCAGGAGATTGGGAGGATTTAAGAGATGGATATGTGGGTAAGGTGTTGGCCACGCTCTGTTACAGTGTGCTATCCTTCAAAATGAAAGACATTTCCTAAAAGACAGATTTCTGAAGCAGGCAGTGGGGTCTTTGAGGACCAGACTCCAGCGCCTTTAGTTGCACTGAATAGCCACCGTAGGGCTCCTCCGGTTGAGAGGTCAGGGCAGGGGAGTATTTCCCAGGTAGCCCATATCTGAGGTGTTAGATGGGAAGTACCTTGATGGATCCCAAGCTTTCTGTTGATAGCAGGGCAATTCCAAGTTACCCCAATGGTGGCTACACTTAATTTTCTGTGTGTTACCTATAGAGCTGGACAAAGTCAGGTACCAATTCCATGACTTGCTTACAGCCAGATTCAATCCTGAGATATTCCCACACAGCTCCTCTCTGCTCTCAGTGGCACTGACTCAAGGGGATCTTGGCTAAGTTGCTTGTACTCTCTGTGCCTCACTTTCCACATTGGTAAGGGCGATCTAATCATAGTTGGCTACCTTAACAAAGTCTTTTTGAGATCCTGATTTGGCAGCTACCGCAGATGAAATTAATAGCAGGAATATGCACGTATAATTTCAGGAGCCCAAATCGTGAATGGTGATGGAGAACATCTCCTTCCCCTCACCCATCTCTATCATCTCCACCGCTCAGTATGAGAACGCCACCGAACACAAAGATTACTATTCCAGCCTTCAAAAGAGCATGCATATCCTGTCCATGGTGGTCTACAGCATTGCATGTCTGCTGGGGGTGACAGGAAACGGCCTCGTCATCTGGATCACCAGCTTCCGGATGAAGAAGACAGTGAATGCCGTGTGGTTTCTGAACCTGGCTGTGGCTGATTTCATCTTCACTTTTTTCCTGCCCTTCAGCATTGCCTACACTGCTCTGGGCTTCCACTGGCCCTTTGGGAAGCTCCTGTGCAAATTAAACAGCACCATTGCCTTCCTCAACATGTTTGCTAGCGTCTTCCTTCTCACGGTCATCAGCATGGATCGGTGCGTTTCACTTGTCTTCCCTGTGTGGTCTCACAACCACAGGACACCCAAATTGGCTTCCAACATTGCCCTGGTGACATGGGTCCTTGCCCTCATCATGAGCTCTCCGTATCTTGTTTTTCGAGACACAGCTACTCATTCCAAGAACATCACCAGCTGCTACAATAACTTTGCCCTGTCTGATGATTATAACTCGGAGGCAGCACGGAGGCTGTGGAGGATGAGGCACGAAGCGATGATTGTAACCAGATTCCTCTGTGGGTTCCTCATCCCCTTCATGGTGATCCTCATCTGCTACACCATCTTTGCTATCAGGTTGAAAAGGAGACGTTTAGTGAGATCCACAAAGCCTATCCGGATCATCATTGCTGTCACTGTGTCTTTCTTCCTCTGCTATTTCCCATACCATGTCTTCTCCATGATGGAAATGTCCAAACACTCTTCCAGTCATGAGCTGAAGATGGCCCTCTACATCGGGTTCCCCCTGGCCTCCAGCCTTGCCTTCTTCAACAGCTGCATCAATCCAATCCTGTATGTCTTTATGGGGCAGGATTTCAGGGACACATTTCAACAGTCCATCCTCTCTGCCTTTGAGGGGGCCTTCAGCGAGGACTCTGTCCTGGCCAGCCTGGCTAGCAAAAGAAAATCCAGGTCTGCTTCAGAGGCAGAGATCCCAGGGGTTTAGTTAGTAGCTCCTATAGTAAGTCACAAGGGGCCCAGTTCTGTCTGCTGTTACACAATTACAGTTGCTACTGCTTTCCGTCAGTGCTACGCTTGTGGAACTGAGGACAGAAATGAGCTGCGAGTTGTTAAGGGTGTGATTCAGCTTTTGAGATGAGTGCAGAACCTAGTGTGTCTTCACGTACCAGGGATGTAAAATAGCTGGATGGGGGTGGCACAGGCTGTCAAAGTAGCTACTTTCACATGCTGCCCTTTGCATGCTATCAGCTTGGGTTTTTTTCTCTTTTCCTTTTGTCAATCCTCTTGTTGTGCCAGTCACCCTCTGTCTCCAGAACCGTTCCTGTTTCACATCCCCTCTGAGGAGCAGATGAGCGCAAGTTACTCCGTTTTGGCCTCTGCTCACTGTTCAGCTGGAAACCCTAGCACCGAAGGTGGCTCAGTCAGCTGTGCCCGCTTCTACCTGACAATGAATCATGTCTTTTTTTACGGCCTTGCCCTGCTACAGTTTTCTCTTTGGAAAACCCAATATTCATTTAGCAAAATGTCATATTGAAAAGACAGAGAGGCCATTTCAGAGTTCCCTTTGCTAGTACTGAGACCTGAGCAATTCAGTGCTGTTATCCTGCGCAAGCTTTCAGAACGTGAGCAGCTGACCCAATAACCTGAAGATTTGTATACAGGCAACCCACGTTTAGCGCTCTTAATTGGTTCCTGAAAAGCCGAGCGATAAGTGAAAATAGTGTTAAGTGAAACCGAAAGTTTTTGATGACCCAAGATGGCGACAGCAAGCACTTTGATGACCCAAGCAAAGATGGTGACCATGAGCATTATACTGAAACTCGCTGAGTGGAATCAGGCATCAATTTAAAACGAGTGTTATAGTGAAATAGGGCTAAGTGAAACAGCGTTAAGCGGGGGTTGCCTGTGCTTAATTATGTAATGGCCCTATAGACAAGTCTTCCGTCATCTTCCTCTTCTGCTAAGACTTCCTATAAAGAAATACCAGGTTTTCCTCTCCACTGACGCATTTAATAAATAGTGGGCATGTCTACACATGCATTCATGTGCCGTAATTACGGCGCATTAACTTTAGTACCTGTAATAACAAGTACTAACTTAATGCACGGTAATCAGTGCTACTGCACAGAAGTGCTGACTGCTGACACATCTTTTAAGTGATACTAATGCATGGTAGACTAATTGTACTGCGCATTTGTATGGCTTTTGCCGCGATGTGCTGATGCACAATAGAATTAGTCTACTGCGCTTTTAGCATCTTGTGTAGACATGCCCAGTGTCTGTCCAGCTTAGCCTTGGGTCACTTTGTGGGTTCTGATTAAAATACACACAACACCACACCCAATCTGCATTAACGCGCGTGCATCCTTGTGGCTTTCATCTGACTTCAGCCAGGTCGCATGAGGGAAGACAGGAGCACAACGTGTTCCATGCTGTCGCCAAGTTTCCTGCCAGCTGCTTTTTGTCAAGATCCCCAAGTGCTTGGGCACCACTAAGTGGTAATATTGCAGACTGCTGCTCTCAAATAATGCTTTTCCCCCTTTAGAGTAACAGGAGGTGAGGGAAGTCTTCCAGTCCATCCTAGTAAGTTCCCGTACAGTGAAGTTGATGTAAAAGAGCCAAAAGTCCTTTTTATTGGCATGCACTGTTGTGTGGTGCACTGATCCTAGTGAGCTAGGGGCTAAGAAGAAAAGAACAGTCAACAAGCAGGCAGCTGGGAGATGCTGTTAAATCCTATTCAGGTCAGATCCTGCTCGCTCTGTGTCCCTGCTGGTAGTAGCGTCTGGTCCAAAGTCTGCTGAAGTTAGTATAAAGCAGTGATTCTCAACCAGAAGCCTGTGACATCCTGGGGTGCCTTGAGATCCTTTCAAGGGTGTCCCAGGGTGTAGTCTTAGTACCGTCAGGTGTGCAAACATGATTCATAAGATAAACCCAGAGATTTCAAATAGGAATCCATGGTGTTAAATACTTTCTGACCTGTTGTGGGCTTTCTGAGTTCTTTGCAGCAGAAAAACTGCTCTTATTATTTTTCTAAAGTAAAAAATTGAGTGAAAACTGAGAACCGGACATTTCCAAGGGGTGCCTTGAGTCTAATGAGGAGTGCCTGAAGCCTAACAAAGGATGCTTTGATTCTGAAAAGGTGGAGAACCACTGGTATAAAAGGTTTTAATTCACTTAAATGGATATAATAATTGCATAATTTTGCCACAAGTGATTCCTTTACGTTGATAGTACTACTCACACATTGCACACTGCGTGCAGTTCACAGGGTTATAACTATAGGTACTAACAGTATATAATTCTTCCCATATACATTGGATAATAGAATCACAGCTGTTACTCTCTCACTCACTTTGGTATAATGTATAATTCTTTTCAATGAGCATTTGTCAGCGTTCAGTATTTTATGGTCTATAGCATAGCAGAGACCCAACACTGTACTTTCACTTTATTTTTAACAATAAAAATATTTTTAAAAGCCTGAGGATTTAATGATGTGTTTTGTCACCATGTGCTAAAATACTTGATTGTCAGAACTGGGTATATGAGTTTGCCTTTGGCCATAGAACCAGTGAAAAAAGTTAAATATCCACGATCTGGAGACCACTGGAATTGGGAGCAAAAACTCTCCCAATTTGTGGAATAAAAGGGGCTCCGCTTTGGTTGCAGGGATCTGTTCATGAGGATCTAGTTTCTAGCTAGTAAGTAGATCTCAGGGCTTTTGGTACATTTGAAAGCCTGTCATTGAGAAATGGCTTTCTCATCTCTAGGCTCAAGGCTGGACACAGGCATGGGCAAACCAGGTGACCACCCAGGGCCCAGACAGAAAGGGGGCTCGAAAATGGTAATTTTTGTTTCTGTTGTCCGATTATTATTAACATTATCTCTGGCAAAGAGGGGCCTGATACTAAAAGTTCACTCGGTGCCACCTGAAGTCTAGGTATGGTACTGTCTAGGCTGCATTTGTTTGGGTGTCACAGTGCAGACTGCTCAAGATGGGGATTTGGGTTTTTTTTGCACAGCAGGACCAATCAGTCATAAAAAAGGAGGTTTGGAAGGGACATCTCGGGGTCACCTGCTCCAAAGTCCTGCTCAGAGCAGGATCATCCCTGTCTAAGCTGTCCCAGCCTAGTGTTTGTCTAACCTGCAGTTACAAACTTCCAGTGATGGAGATTTTGCCACCTTTCTAGGTTTGCATCTTAGTTTTTGTAAAAGGATTTCAGCCTCGGGGAAGATGCTGTAACCTGCGGTTGTTTTTCTTTTCTAATCAACCCTGGGTAACTGGATGACCCATGTTTTCTACAGCTTCTCTCTTTGCCTTGCAGCTTCGGGAAACCAGTGGTTCAAAAAAGCCTGCCCATCCAGAGGAGAATGAAAAACCCAGCTAAAGTGTCAGTGAGAGGCATGGTGCTCTCCCTGCTTACAGGAACACAAGACTGGAGGGACTTCCCAGTATTCCTCCTGGGATTCCCATGCGGTTGGACTCGCTCCTCTGCTTTTGCAGGCGGTCATGTCATATCATCCTCTGCCTAAGTGTATCAAACTCCATCCTAAAAATAGATGGGCTTTTTTTTGCTTCCTCTGTTGTGAGCTGTTCTGGAACCTCATTTTTATGATGGTGAGATGGTTATTTCTGGCCTATATTCACTTGTCAGGATGATTTATAGGTGAAGACAGCATGTAGCTTCACAACAGCATGAGCGCTGTCACTCACAGACAGGCTGGGGAGCCAATATGGGACCATCGGACTACGCAGCAGTCAATGATGTTAATTTAGGTCATGAACATGCAAGCACATACCTAGGGGCTTAGCTGCAATCCCACTGAAGCCAATGTGATTGCAGGGGAACTATGGAATGCAGGAGGACTATTCACGCGCTTCAAGTCAAGCGAATAAGCTAAGTGTTTGGAGGACTGGGCACTGCGGGACCTGTCCTCTGCCACAACATGCTGGCTGTTCACCATTTAAAATTGCAAACACAGAGGTCAGATATTTGCTGTGCGGCAGCAAGTGTGAGGATACACGCTCAGCAGATCTGGGGAATGACAGTGTCAAGGTTGAGCAGACCCGTCGTTGTCCTCCCTAGCATTTTTTTCTTATCTGCTTGCAAAGTCTATGTAATTCGTAGAGAGAGGTGGCTCTCGGAGTACAGGGCAAAGATCTTGGCACTGCTGACGCTGGCTCTGTGATCCCCTTGCTGTTCTCTGACCCCAGGATCTCTGGGCACTGAGGCAGTCCCCTGAATGAAAGAGGGCAGCCATCAGGGGACATTTAGACCTCTGGATGAAAGCACCAGGGTGGCACAAAGCTGCTTGAATATACCAGGGAATTCAGCTCCTTGTGTGACCTTAGACAAGTCCAGCAGGACACTTAGACATGCCTAGCTGGGTCCTTCTTGATTTTGTTGAGAGCTTTCAGGTGTTTGGGGCCTTATTCACTATTTAGTGTTGTTGGGCTCAACAGCTCTTGCCTCAGCTTCCACAGCTCTCAAACGGGGAAATAATACTTCTCTGAAGAATCTCTCTGGATGCTGTGAGGCTTAGTAGTTCCTGCTGTTTGTTATACAGTAGTGCCTCTCAAAGCACGGCACCAACGCGAATGAATTGAGCCCCAGGAGACTGCTGTGAAGTAGGTATTATGCTTTTCAACCATTTATGTGTTACAGTGATAGGCACCATAGAAAACTCAAGGGGAGTTTAGGATCTTACAGGGAGATAAATAGAGGCACTGGAAGATGTCATGTTTCCAGGTCACAGGGGCAGGGAGAGAACCCAGGAATTCTCACTCCCGCTGCCATGTCCTCACTTGCTTTGCTTCATTGACCTCTATGTTTGCTCTCATCCCCCATTTGGAGAGGGGACTCACTCTGCCCTCTCTCCAAATCTCCTCCCTGACTGTTCTCATTGTCTTTCCCTCCCATCCTTCTTTCAGGCCTTACTCTATGTTCCAAAAAAGGTTCCCCATTAATTGGGGTCAGGTACCCCTGTTCTTTCAAATGCCACCATTCTGCACAGTGTCCTAATAGTTTCATAGTTGGTCGGGTCAGAAGGGACCTGAGCAGATCATCAAGTCCGACCCCCTGCCATGGCAGGAAAGAGTACTGGGGTCAAACGACCCCAGCAAGGTGACTGTCTAGCCTTGTCTTAAAGACCCCCAGGGTAGGAGCCAGCACCACTTCTCTTGGAAGTTGGTTCCAGATCCTAGCCGCCCT